CAGCTTGAAATTATACAAAACTGTTAAATTCATTTAAGAATTAAAATAGCTTTTATACATACATATACGCGTATATACTTTATAAGCTGTGGAAAGATTATTGTAGAGCCAAAAATTTCTAGTGGTCCTGCCGGAATGTACATCTTTCCACTTAGAAGTTAGGCACATTTCGCTGTACCGACAGACTGGGCCCTTGATATACATACTCGCTCAGAGAAACAAGAGAGCGATTATGCCCTTACAATATCCACATACGGTTCGATTTCGGGTCAGTGCGTCGGTAATTTCACTGCTGTTGTGGCCCGGCGCCTAGATCATTGCAACCACATGTCTATCTGTCAGTTAGAGCTGTACCATAATCTGATCATTGTTTTATTAGCTAAGAAGTGATACTTACAGATCCAAGGGCCTTAAGCCGACGCCTGGTTATCTGATGCGGAAATATATAAATAGCAACGACAGTCCTGGTTTGTTCTGCGGCTAAAGGTACTCCTCTGTAATAGGAAAAACCTTCGTATTTTCTACTGGAGGCCGTTTAGTTTAAGGCGACAACTTTAAGGACAGCTTTAAGAATATTTAATCACTTTATTGAAGGCTGTCCAGGCCCTAGAAGGAATAGGTGCTAGAATCGTGGCACCGAGGGCAAGGATCTCTGTTCCTATGGGGAAATATCTGAGCATCTTTCAAGCAGAAGTCATCTATCTATCTAAGGCTGTCCACAGCGGTTTTTTTTATATACATTTATTTTTATGAAAATAAAGTTAATGCAATTAAATGTGTTTGCAAACGCAAAATGTACTCCACACTTACTTATATGGGTGCCAGGTTATAGGGACATACCGGACAACTGTGCTGCAGACGAGCTGGCTCGGAAAGGAACCCTACTGTCTGCGATCAGCACCGCTCGTAATGCGGGCATTCCGCTATCTTCTTATAAACTCTGCCTGCAGAATAACTTCATCGAACGGGCAAAAACAAGATGGTCTGCGGTGCCCACGTGGCCGGATAGCAAGCCCCATCTGGCCTAGGTTAGATAAGCGTAGATCTTACCCTCTCTTACGTTCCGTTAACAATGCTCCGCCATGTTATTGGAGTTCTCACCGCGCACTGCCTTATAAGAACCCACGCTGCCTTATAAGAACCCACGCTGCCCGGATGGGTTTGCAGCCAAACGATTACTGTCGTAGCTGTCGGGATGAGGACGAAATCGAAAGCGTGGAGCATTCATTACCTATGCCACTGTTCCGCTTTGGTAAGGGCTCCTCGACACTCGCTTCTCCGCTATTCTTTTGAGTGTACAATTTGATTCCATTTCTGAGGTAGGAGGCGGGCCGCTAGGAGTCTCTAATACGGCATCACAATGGGCCCATGTACAGGATGACGGCAGCCAGGATAACTCAACCTAACCTACTTATAAGCTTATGTTCATGCTTTATATACATATGTGTGGTATTTATGTGTGCATTTCCANATAACTCAACCTAACCTACTTATAAGCTTATGTTCATGCTTTATATACATATGTGTGGTATTTATGTGTGCATTTCCACAGTAAAATGTATGCCGTTGGTGTTATGCCGCAATATTGATGCTCATTAAATTGTTTGGCCGCGAAAATAAATAAATTTGCTAGCGGGAATTATAGACAAATATTGACTGCCTAACATAAAAAAACAATAATAATGTTATTAATAAATGTCAACAACTATTCAAGCATAGACATAGAGCTGCTTCACGAAGCTGAGGCTTCGGAAAGCGAAGCAGCAGCACTATAGCTGCAATCGGTGTTACCAGATTTTATTTTCAAATAACTGTGAATTCCCAAAAAAAACTTAATTTCAAAAAAAAAAAAAGAAACTGTAACCTTCAAAAACGAAGAGTTTTTCGGAGTTTTAACCGTATGATTGGAAAAGGGCACACTTTTTATTCAAAAGGGGAAACTCTGCACCTTATAGCCTCTTTTTCTGTTAAAAATTTACTAAAAACACCAAAAAAGATATTTAAATTTATTCTTCCAAATCTCAAAAATTTTACAAAACTGTAATTTTCGAAAAAGTGTAAGCTTATCTAAAACACTATTATGTTCAGTTAAAAGTGTGAATATGGTAACATTGGCTACAATTCAACTGCACGATATATTGATCGGAGGTGCAAAGAGACGTAGTGGCCAAAAGTAAGTCATCGCTTCGTCCAGACAAAGATGCAGGATAGGGTGGTGCGGGGCAGAGTGTTGCCTGCAATTTACTACGACGCAGCATCGAGTTGATTAGGCAACACGACATGTCGTCCGCTTCAATCGACTGCGCGGCGGGTGGTTCAATAATTATTAATCGAAAATGCAAACAAAAGCAATAAAAATACGGCCACAGCGTTAATAAAGTTACGGGGCATTGATGTCGTAGATAGTACAAAGTAAGCTACGCACTAAATTAAGCCATGAAGCAGTCGAATGCAATAATGAATGTAATAAATATTTACATATGTACGTATGGATATGTGTATGTAGGTACATTGCGTACTTTGTATTTGGTGATTTACGTCGTTGCGGCTACATTCGCTTAAGCTGACTTTACTTGAGGCGATTTTTTGACAGACGATAATCGCTTGCAAAAGTTGATTTGCTGCCCACTTTGGGGAAAGCGACTTTTGAATCACTATTTACAGGAGCGATTTTCCTTGAGCCTTGATTTGGAATCGCCTAATTTAAATGCAGCTTAAGGTTGTAATTGCTTCCTTTTGTTGTTGCAATATATGTACATATGCATTTACATTAGACGGAAAACAATAGATTCGCCATACACCCCAGAGCTTAAAGTATAAAGCTCACCAAAAAGCATTAAAATTTTGCTAAGGACGAAATTTGATTATTCCAGTAGAATAATTAAAAAAAATAAAATTTTTTTTGCCGAATGTACATACATACACAGATGTCACCGACAATTTTTTTTAATTGCCTTGCAAAACTACTTTCGACTTCGGGGCTTACGGCGAACTTTTTATTTTGCTTGTAAGATGTGCACGGTCTACTGTACAGCACATACATATTTTTGTTAAGTGTCGTATAACGTAACTGTGCTTGCGACAATACGTCTTATGAAGCAATATCGACAGCTATGATACGAAATGATATTCCTGGCCTTCTAGTGGATTGGATCATAAGCATGTTGAAATCCAGAACTATAGTAGCGGAAATAGGAGACAGTAGGCAAGCAGTAACTAGTAGTAAGTAGTAAAGAAGGACAAACGGGGCCAGAACAAAAAATTTTGTCGGACATTCACGCAGCACTAAGGGCCTTAGACTCATTTAGAACGACATCAAGGCTTGTGGACAATTGTAAAACTCTTCTGAATAGCCTCGGAGCCCATAATAGAGTTACGCTGTGGTGGGTCTCTAGGCATGAAGGGTTTGAAGGCAACGAAAGGGCTGACTTTCTCGCAAAACGTGTCTTTCTGTGGTACATCTAGAGGATACACTGCAGAACTGCTTAGGAGTTGGGAGGAATCTCAGATTGCTGCCCCCTGCCGTAAGTCAAAGGGAATGAGACAATCAAAGAAATTCATAACTCCTTCCCGGCGGAACTCAGAAATACTCCGTGAACTCAGCCGGGAGGGTCTTAGGACTCTCGCAGGCTACCTGACAGGACAGTGCAAGTTAAGGTACCATCTGA